TGAAATTAAAATAAATAATTAAACTGAACTAAAAATTTTAAATTTTTTTTTTTGGCAGAATTAATAAATTAATTGAAATCATTTCAAATAATTTTCTTATCAAAAACCATGAAACCACAAAGTTTGATATTCTATTTTCTTATAAATATTTTGAAATAAGAAAAAAAAATTTAATAAATTTAAGCAAATTTGGTTACTTTTGTCTAATTTTATTGAACATTCAAAACTTGATTTTTAATTTTTTTCAATTAAACTAATGGTGGGCGGTTACTAATTTTCAATTTAATTTATATGTATTTATTTTAAACATTGCACTTAGTTACACGTATGCCCATTAGAATGTAATTACTTTTTTCTTACTTGCATCAATATATATAAGCACTTTTCACTACTTCATATTTCATATAAATCTATGTATATACATACATACACACTACATTATTAGCTAAGTAAACACATTTACATTAATTTGCATTAAAGTATGTATTCAGCTGTAAGTATAATATTTGTTTTTGTTATTTATGTTTGACTCTTTTTTTGTTAACACTGCGTCCGTTTACCGTTAGTTAATTTTTCGCACCGTTCCGTACGCTGTAAAATCCGCAACTGAAGTTGCTCCTCGTCGGTGCCTGAATTTATATGCTGTCGGTGAATAAGGAAATTTTGTTTATGTGTGCGAAAAACTGCGCAGTAACGGAAAAGCTCTCACATGTCGTGCGTAGGCTCTTCGACAGTCGGTTAAAGGCGCTCTTATACAATTGTGCCGGCAAATTTTCGCGGTAAAAATTTGTTGATGTATAGTTTGGCATTTGTTATAAATTTAATAGAAATGTAATTCAGAATGAATGGAAATAAATTAATAACAAAATTCTTAAATTCCTTTTTTTTAATTTTTCTCATGTTTCTTTTTTCGTATTGTTCTAATAATAACTTACTCCTTAATATATGCAACAAAAAACGATTTTGTTTTAAAAAAACGTCGTTAAAAAATTGTACATTATGTAATTCTTTTCCCCATTATCATTAAAATATTACAGCGCTTTCTATTTGATAGTAATAATTTTGCCGCCAAAATTTCATTGCAACACACACAAAAGTATTTATATCAACACGCACACCCTTCCCTAGCAAATATCCCTCCAGCCGCCTGTACTTGTATAAGAGAAAATACAACGCTGTGAAAGCGCAACAGCTGTCTGCCAGCAAATGCCGCTAACCAGCGTTGGGAAATTAGGCAAAAACAAATAAAATAGCAAATTCCGAAATTTCGCTTCTCTCTCAGTAAATTCAGAAGCTAAGTAAACAAAATATTGTAATGCCATGTGCTCCTTCGCTATTTGCCGCCTCCAACGCGACCCACTTGTTGATCGACTGCTCAATTATTCAACTATGATATGCTTGACGATAATTTTATACTTGTAAAATGCGCTAAATAAAAGCATTGCATCGGTGGAAATTTTCAAAAATTATTAAAAAGAAAAAGATCAGAATGTTTGGCATTTTATTAAAACTCATGATAGTACAAAAAATCTCCCATGACATCTCATTTTAGGTAAATATTTAAAAACACGAAAACACATTTTCATCATTAAAGTTTATCAGTTAAATTATTTTGAAATTCTTCATAAAAACTTTGCCAAAAAACAATTAGAAATCGCTTTTTCGGCTTTTGCATTTATTTAGTAATTTCGCCCTGATATTAATGTTAAAAATTTTCAAAAAGATACTTTTCCCTCAAACTTTGATCATTTAAATCCACAGTACAATAAGATGTAAAATAATATTTTGAAGCTCTAAGGAGTAATCTAGTCTAGCAGTAAAAAAAATATATATTTTTGTTTACATTTTCAAAGTTAAACTATTGAAGAATATGTCTACAAGAATTTTTGAAATTTCGTATTATTTTCGGAGATATACATAGGTATTTTGCTCATCTGGCATCCAAAATGTTTCGACCGGAACCGAAACTTTAATCGCGTTTTTCTCCAAACTGGCTTTTTCAAAACGATACTCACATTTTCTCATTCTACTGGACCGATTTACCTGAGACAGAGTCTTCTTAATGGTCTGATCTATGTCTGAAATGATCCATATCCGCAAATGTCAAAAATTGTTTCTAACTTTTTCTTACTTCCAGACATTGCAACATTATTCTAGATAATAATTTTTTTATACTCTTGCAACATGTTGCTAGAGAATATACTAGTTTTGTTCACCTAACGGTTGTTTGTATCACCTAAAACTAATCGAGTTAGATATAGGGTTTTATATATATAAATGATCAGGATGAAGAGACGAGTTGAAATCCGGGTGACTGCCTGTCCGTCCGTCCGTCCATGCAAGCTGTAACTTGAGTAAAAATTTATATATCTTTATAAAACTTGGTACACATGTTTTTTAGTACCGTAAGATCGGACCACTGTCAGGCCCACAAAACGCCAATAATCAAAAACAAATAAATCGCCATAACTAAGCTCCACAAAAAGATACAAGACTTTTATTTGGTACATAGGATCAAATTAAGAAGGGGCATCTGCAGTTTAAAATCTTTTTAAAAAGTGGGCATGGTCCCGCTACCTAATAAGTTTAATGAGCATATTTCCTAAACCGCTCAAGCTATAATAACAAAATTCACTAAGAACAAATGTTTTTAAGACCTCAATCGACAGTGTGACAACTCCGCACGGCAGAAACATTAAATTTTATCTCAGGGATGGTATGAGATGACTTTATAGGAACCGCGTTCAAAGTTAGACAGTGGGCGTGGCACCGGCCACTTTTAGGTGAAAACCCATAGTTTGAGATCTGCTTAACCGATTTCAACCAAATTTGGTACAGACCATTCTTCTCATATTTGTATGCTATAGTGTGAAAATGGGCGAAATCAGATTTCAACCACGTCTATTTCCCATATAACACTATTTTAAATTCCATCTGATTCTTTCACTTTCCACTATGCAAATCCAACAACAATGATTATACCGGGGTAAAACTTATATATATGTATAAAATGTACGGTTACACCCGAACTTAAAACATCATTACTTATTTTAATATTTTTCTCAGATTGTTAGGATGGTTAAAATCGTGTTTTAGTCACGTGCTGTTTTATTTTTTGATTTTTGTTTGTATACTGGTAATGTTAATAAATAAAAATACCTAAAATACCTAATAAAAAATGGTTAGTACGACAATTCAAAAATTACCTGAAATTCATGCCTCTAAACTAGAATACCCCCTTAATTTTCAATAGTAACCCATCTTTGAGTATTATCATTACAAAATATAATAATAAATCCCAAAAATCATATGAAGCAACATATCCAAAATAAAATCAACCCAAATTGAGTTAACATCAAAGATTGTAATTTCAATATTCCAACGATTTTCAATTTTTTTTTTTGATAATTAAAAAGCTTTCACCCAAAGTTTTCGCCTTGCGGCCACAAATGTTGAAAATTAAATTGTGGTACAGTTTCTTTTAATAAAATTTAAACACACAATTTCCACTTTTTCTCTTTTTATGACACATTTTTGACACATGTATGCATTATGCATTATGCACGTTAATTATATAATCATTTTTCACCACCGAATAACTGACCAGTTCGCAATAGCGTCAATAACGACCCTTAAGCGCTCTTTGCGCCATCCTTTTCCGCCAACGCTGCTTATGTGTGATTTTAATTTCATTAAACTTCAAGTTAATTAACAGCAACAACCAGCTGCTACCAGACTGCCATATGAACATGTCAATATATACATACATACATATGCACATTAAAAAGCTATGTTTATGATATGACCATATGTATAATATGTGTATGTATGCATACAAACCTATCGACACGACGGCTTTATGAGCATGTGAAAATATGATTAAAATAACCGACAGTTGTAAAAGTTCCCAGTTTTCGGGGCTGTCAAACTTTAGTAATCATTTCGAGTCGAGATAATCAGCTTTTTGATATGAGTGTGTGTGCGTGCGAAGCCGCATATGTAGTTTTATAGCAATATGTTAAAGTCAAGTAAATCGGCTTAAATTATTAGGAACAATTTAGTTTATTTCGACCAATTTATTGAAGACTCGATATTGCTTTTCAAAATTAAAGAATCTTTATAATCGGTAGCTGTAAACTACAATAAACAAAAACAAATACAGAGATCAATTTTTTTTTAGAACTCATCGTATGTAACTTACGGTAAGCGTACTTAGCTTATTTTAACATATTGACACTAAATTAATTATCATGCTTAAATGGGATATATAATTCACTGAAATATTATGGGATTATTGCTCGTTTCGCTCTGTTACGTAAACATATATTTAATATGCTTTTTGCTATAATTTAAATAAATATAATTATTTTAAGCTGCATTACAAACGCCTCATATAAATTTAATTTGTCAACTTGGTCTTAACTCTGAAGCATTTGGTTTTTTTAATTCAACGGCTTTTTAAAAACATACATGGCCATAGTTGCTACCTTCCAACTAACATGAAAGTCGATATTAAGACGAGTCATCAAACATCAAATTTTCTATTCCTACTAAGCCACTGAAAGTTCTCTTTAAAGAATCAAGCGTCTTCTTTTGTAAAATAATTGACTTTTTGTTGTAGGTCTCAGTATACCTACAATACAATATACAATATACAATATATACTAATATATATAATATTTATGTCACTCTAGAAGCATATGCGGAAAAGTAATTCAATATAAAGTCAATTTTGCACATCAAGGATCCCAGACCTGTTTTCGATATTAGTTTATACTGAACAAAAAAGTCAGTATTTAGACCAAGCATATAAGGCAAGCCTGATCAACCGTCAGTTATTGAATTTTATTAGTCTCATCTAATATGTATGCGAGCTTGCTATACATACAAGTATGTACACATCGATGAGCTACGAACCAAATTGAGTCATAAACCAACTGTATAGTAAAATGTTTCTTTTTAGAATATTAAGTAATTTAGATATTAAAAGAAAGCAAATACATTTATTTGTCTTGTAAATATAAATTTGTATTTTTCATATATAAGATGAATAACCAATTTCATTAATTAAATATATACGTGTTGGCATGTTTGTTGAAAATGTGTGCTAAAAACAAGTCAATAATTTATGAATAAGAAAAAAAGAGTAAAATAAGGTCGCGACATTTTAATATTCTAATAACTGTGCCTATTTGCTCTAAAACAATCTAACACGTTTGACGACACGATAGTGATAGCCATCATCGAGCAATGTAGCTGTCTCACCAACGGGACCCTCAGCTTCGACCACACCTTCTTCCAGCGGAGGCAAGTAAGCGCGTTCGGGCTCGGCAGCAATAACTGCCTCGGTGTCTTCAACTGGTTCGGGCTCTTGCACCACCGCTGCTTCGGGTTCTGTCTCAACTTCTGCTTCGTGCAGAGGCTCTGTCTTAGTTACAGCAGCTGGTGCTGCGCCTGGCTCAGCTACTTTAACCAAAGGCAACAAACCCAAGTCTGGCAACACTGCTGGTGTTCTATAATGATAACCGTCATCTGCGAATACGGCTGACTCCACAGGTGCCGCTTCAGTTGTGGTTGGTGCCTCGGTTGTTGTTGGTACTGCAGTGGTGGGTGCTTCTGTCTCTGGTGCTTCAGTTTCAACTGCCTCCGTAGTGCGCTCTTTAACTGGAAGCTCTTCATTTACAGGCGGCAAATATTCATTGGCAAGTTTCAGTTGTGGAATCTCCTCTGGCACATCTAATTGCGGCGGCAAATAACTGTTAGCTAACTTAGGAGCTGCTACTGGTGGCAAGTAACCCAGATTTAAATGTGAAACATCACGACGTTGGCGGAAACGAAGCTTGCGTACGGTGCGGTATTCGTAGCCATTCTCGCCGAGGACAGTGGCATCGGGTACTGCTTCGGTAGCGGCATCGACAACTTCAGTTTCTACAGCGCTGTTAACTTCTGCAGCTGGAATTTCTTCACCAACTGGCTCTGCTGGTTCGCTAACCGATTCCACAGGAGGCAAATAGATATTTTGTGGTTCAGCAGCCTCTGATACAGGCGGCAGGTACTCATTTAACGGTTCTGATAAAATTTCGGAGACATCACGTCTCAGTCGATGTTGTTGCAAAGGAATAGCCGCAACAGCTGCCACAAGGCACAAAGTGATGAATGCGATTTTCTAAAGTTGCCACATAGAGTAAAAATTATAATATAAAAAAAATTATTGAAACACTTTTGATCAGATTTTTCGAAATGATTAATTTATGATTAATAGGTAATTCGCACTTCTTACCATTTTCGGTGTAGCCAAATTTAAATGATCAAAAAATATGATTTTTGTACACTGTTTGCTTCTGGTCCACTGAACTGAACGCAATCGAATGATGTTGATGTTGAAATTGTTATTTCTATTTATACGAGAAATTAACGAATCAACGCAACTGTCCCAAAATAAGAAATACGAAATTAAAATCAACAATCGATCACTTCGATCTCTGCCATCATCTACATTAAACTCTTCCTATTGCGGACTATTTGCGCTCTGAGTTTTCTTTTTTCATTTGTCGCTACAGTTTCACACTTCGCTCAATAAGCAAACAGCCGGTAAAAGCACCGACCAAACTCTTAAACCAATTGAGCGCTGTGAAGAGCGTTAAAGGTGAGCAGAGCATTACCGAAATTGTCTGCAGAATGTACGCATGCGCTGCTGCAAAGTGTTAATGAATTCAGTCAACATCCATGGTTTACCGATCGCTACAAATCGATCACTCATCTCGCACGTTTTGTCAAGCACACAATTACTTCACCCTTCGCTTAAGGCCCTATAGACGCCTCAGCAATCTTGAATATGACGCTGTAGCTATTGCCTGTGTGCCAATGTATAAACAAAACATAGTTGAGTGCAGTTAAAAACGGAATCCCGAATTTAGTTTCAAATATTATTTTAAACTGTTTTCGTTGTACAAAGTCTTTCTCTTCAACTCGGTATAATTCCAATAATAAATTTGATCTTCAATCTATGCTTCATTTTATTTTTAATATTTCCATTATTTATTTCAAAATTAATCATTTATAATTCTAACATAAATCGGCATCTTCAATTTCAGGTCAAGTGAAACAAAAAATTTGATAAGAGAAAATGCAAAAAATTAAAAGCCATGGATATATCGATATATTGTGTTCAACTCAACCAATTTATTGAAAATAGATTGTAATAGAAATTAAATTGAATGCTTCCAAAACCTTTCAGATATATTTTTTGACTAATGTAGTAATGAGAACTAAAACAAAATTATTAAAACTTTAGAAAATATGATACCTTTGGTATTAGAAATTTATAAAAAAATGCAAATATTTCAAAAGCTAAATATTCTTAAACAAGTAAGGAAGTTCTAAATTCGGGTGTAACCGAACATTTTATACTCTCGCAACTTGCAAGGATCAACGCCCGGGAAATGACTTCAGGTGTTGGCAAAATTTTATATTAAAGGAAGTATTGATCCGATTCAACTCATTGTTGACACAAGAACATACTATTATCAAGAGTTTCATTTATTTATTTTATTATATGAATTTGAATTATATATCTTACACATTGACTGATATTCGCGGTAAAAAGTCAACTATAGGCACTGGGGTCCACATATTCAGTACCCATTAGCTTGAACAGTTTTGGTTCGACTTAGGCAGTTTTTAGTCACAAGGTGGCATACTTTAAACGCATTATTCACGCAAACAATCATTGTTGCTTGATTTTCATAGTGGAAAGTGAAAGAATCAGATAGAATCTAAAATTGTGTTATATGGGAAGTAGGCCATTTTCGCACAATAACATGAAAATATAAGAAGAATGTTATGTACCGAATTTGGTTGAAATCGGCTAAGCAGATCGCAAGATAAGGTTTTGCGCTTTGTGGGCGTGGCAGAAGTCCGTTTACGCCCATCTGCAATACCAATCGTCTTACGGTACCAAGAAACATGTATACCAAGTTTCATAAAGATATCTCAATTTTTACTCAAGTTTATATACGGACGGACATAGCTAAATCGGCTTAGCTCGTCACGCTGATATACATACAAGTAGGAGGGTCTCTGACATTTCCTTTTGGGTGTTTCAAACATCATGGCAAACTTATTATATTCAGGGTATAAAAATAGTATGTATAACCCTTTTCGGGATCATAGTATCTGATATATGCTCACATGCTATGTACACACGCATGTATGTACATACTATCTAAGCACTCATTGGTCTGCAGCATCAATCAGCTGCCTTCTGCTTTAGCACTCGATGAATGCTCAGCTTAGGTCCGAACAACACTTTGACGCTTTGACAAGCGTGTAATGGCTGGCTTGCGACCTTTGAATGTCACAATACTAAAAATTGGATTTTGATTATTTTAAATGTTTGGCATGTAATGCAGAACCACGGTCATAAACACACTTGGTACTTAGTGCACATTATGCAGTAACGTACGAAATAAAGGTAAAATAAAAGTTATTAACTATCAATTAAACGCTTTAATTATGTGACGCATGCTCAGACACTTTTTTTGTTTCTGCAATCTCGTTCCTTCCACACATTTGGCGGCATTTTTGTCTTATAGGCATCTAATTGTGTTAAGATTCTTAAATGTTGCTGCATAGTCTTTTATTTGATTGCCATTCATAAGCACGCGCAAATATACGCTCTCATCTTCTTATGCTATTCTAAAATTAACATTGTCAATATTTCCACTTGGAACTGACAATAGTTTAATGGACAGTTATTAAAAAGTTATATTTGTATCTAAAAGTGTTATACTGTGGTACAAAAATATAAAATTTTCCTCTTTCAACCCGTTGCAATACAATTGTTGAACCTCGTTAACTAATTGTTACTTAATTATATATTTTAAACACCGCAGTTTTCGGAAATCATATACTTAGCTTAATGTTGCAAGCTACATATTTGTCAGAAAAATAATGTAAAGTAAGCATAAAATCCAACACATGAGTAATTCGAATATTCGAACAACCCATTTTCTATGAATTTATTTTCATTTTATATTGCAGTCATTTTTTATGAAACTTCTTTTATTGGCTTAAATATGTGATATTTTTATTCCACTATAATATTATATAATTGGCAATATTTCAGGAAGTAGTGCGAAGAAGGGATTATAATTATATTAAGAATATAGATGGAACCTACCTTCGACTCTTAAATTATTTTATATACTATTCCTTAGAAAAAAAAATTATCACAGATACCAATATCAGCCCACTGTATACACATTTTTTTATCTTATTGATTTTGCTATTACTGTGTATAAAACCTATGATACCCTGTTTGTGTTGGGTATTCAGCACTAAACCATAGAAGCTGATACATGGGATTTTATGAAAGTAGCGATCGATGAGTATGATCTCCATTCATCAAAATAAAAAGTCTTAAAACTTAATAATTTATATTTAATTGAACCAGACTCAGAAGCATATAAAAAGTATTCGAAAATTCCTTGCACATCTACCATCAAAATTAAATAATATATTTGAGGCAATAATAAATATTAAAGAAAATAATATATTTTTATCCATAATTCGTTTGTAAAACACTCAATACCGCACATTTGGAATACTTTGAACAAGTCAATGTCAAGCACAATGAGCGTTATACTGCGTTAAAATTCAATGTCAATAGTAGCCGGCAAAACGGAGACAAATATTTGTGTGTATAAAAAATAATGCTTTACGTACTGTATATGTGTGTGTATGGCATACCAAATCACAGTTATGAAAGCGAAATATACGAAAAGCGCAGTATCAAGTGTGATAGAACCGCAATGAGACACGCGCTTAAGCTGAAGAGGCAAACAAAAGTAGACGACGCCAAAAAGAACACAAAATAAAAACAAAAACTAAGAAACACAAAAATAAACAAAAATTCGAAAATGAAACACTTGAGCAGTATAAAAAATAGACGGTTCAGCTTTTTTAAAAATTTTAAACATCTTTGATATAGGCATATATTTGTTCAATTACAAATATAAAAATGTATAACTATTAATAAAGCTCAAATGATCCAAAAATGGTTGAGTCAGCATGTCATCGCCGAGGAAACACTACTTAAGTAATTTTAACAAAATAACATTGTTAAAAAAATATTACTTAAGACAACATGAATGTGCACATATTTCCTCATTTTTCAATTACTTTAAAATATTTTATTATTTATGCTGTTATTACCATTGGCCTATGACGCACCAGCTTAGATCTATGAAAAAGTTCATTGTCATGTTGCCAATATCGATAACCTCTTTTATTTGAACACTTAAAACAATTTGTTGCAAATAATAAAAAGTACAATGTTTGTAGAATGCTTGTTAGCGAGCTGAAATCGTGACCAGCTTTAAGCATTGCTGAGGCGATTGAAATCTTCGCCACCAATTTGTCGGAAAACAAATAATCAAAGCCGGAAATATCCATATCAAAATAATGTACAGATAAAACAACTTATTTTTTGGTTAGCTTTATTTAAACTTTTTTTTCATTCTGCGATTGTATTTATGAATAAACATACATATCAACTGTGAGAATTTAGCCATTTAAGAAATATAATGCGTACAGAATTTTTTTATAGATTTTCAACTATAATTACATTATTAATACATAGTTTCCCAAGAATAACTGATGTAAGAATTGATTTTGCATTTTTTGCTTTCGATATCACTTCGGTTTCGACAAGCTTCTTGTTGAGAAAAAGACTTGTGCAAAATTGCAGATCGATATCTCAAAAGTAAGAGAAGGGGTGTTCCAAAGTAAACAGGACTTTAAAAAAAAGACTGAACAAATGGTTTTATTGGCAAAATCAATTAATTTTATTCAAAATAGTCTCCTTCTGCTTTAATACAACTTTTTGCACGGTCCAAAAGCATGTCGAACGAGTGTTTTAGCTCGTTGCCCGGTATGGCCGCCAGTATGCCGGTGTAACCCTTTTGAATGGCCTCCACGTCTGCATAACGCTTTCCATTCATCGGCTAATGCATTTTTTCAAAAAGGTAGAAGTCGCACGGTGCCATATCAGGTGAATACGGGGAGTGCTTGATTGTTAAAATGTGATTTTTGGTCAAATAATCGGCCACAAGCGTCGATTCGGGCCGAAAACGTCGAATACGGCGCACCAAACGCTTCAAAACTCCAAGGTAGAATACCGCATTAACGTTTTGGCCGGGTGGAACAAATTCTTTGTGGACAATACCCTTGGAATCAAAAAAACAAATCAGCATTGTCTTCACTTTTGACTTCTCCAGGCGCGATTTTTCATTTCTCATTTATGCACTCTGCTACGGGATAGGCAATCATCGCCATAAACTTGTTTAATCAATTGAAACGTTTCGG